ACTTAAAATATGTAAAAGTTTAATTATATTATACATAAAAAATTTTAAAATTCACGAAATATAACGTAGGAAAAAAAAAGGAAAAGGTGCAGTTTAGGGAATATACAGACCGATACCGGTCTGTATATGTATATACGGACCGGGATCGGTCCGTATATCATGTAAAAAAAATCCATTCAAGATAAATAAAACAGATTTACTTTATTTAATAATTACATAATATTACCAAATAATGCAAAAATATATTTTACCATTCAAATTAAATACATTTTATAAAAAAATAAAATATGTTTATGCAAATTAATGAGCTTGGCATGTTGGATCCTAATGCTTGATATGATTCTTGAAATTAATGAATTTGCTTATTAAAATTTGTCCATATTGATTACTTTAATATGTGTTCATTGATTATATTCATAATATTTGATGATTCATACATTGAGATATGACTAAAGTTGCATTGTTTAGTAGTTGATGTCCAATTTAAACTTAGTTGAATGAAGAAATATCATATTAAGGTGCATTCCCTTCAAAACAGCCCCAAACTTTCTGTTTGTCTCAATCAAGGCCAGTAGAGCCAACTCAACCACTTTCACAGTTGGCTCCACCCAAAAACCCGAGAGTCTTCTTTCTCTAAAGTTAAGCCGGCTCCAAGAATAGAGCCGGCTCTCCTGCAGCTCTTTGAATATTCGGGCTTCTCTCTCTAGAATTAAGCCGGCTCCAAGACTAGAGCCGGCTCTCGTGCAATTTATGACTTTTGGTATTGATTGTCTATGATTTTGATGATTATATGCTCTTATTGAGGGGGCGTTTAGTATAAAATGCTTTTGATGACTTTTGGTATTAAATGTTTATTATATAAAATGCTAGAAATTTTTTTAAGTTTAGTATAAATATATAAGCCTGCAATATCTATTACAAATATAAAGTCAATACAAATATTTAATTGAAAATAGAAAAACCTAAATATCTCGGGGTGTCCTAGGGGTGACTGTCCCACTGGTATCGGTGGGGTCATGCCGAAATGCTGGTAGAGTTGCTGCATCTGTTGCTGCATCTGTGTTGTAAAAATCGATTGTTGCTCCCGTAGACTAGCATTGCTGCATCTGTTGCTGCATCTGTGTTGTAAAAATCGATTGTTGCTCCCGTAGACTAGCATTATCTGCCAAAACATTAGAAATTTCTTGTTGAAGGTTATAATTATCTGCCTTCAATGATTCAACAGTTGCTGCAATTCGATAACCCTATTAGACTGTCCCATAATGGGTGGCCTGAATGGTTCTCGTCTAGATGTGCTCACACCTATATCCTGTGGATGTGTGTGAATATCCAAACCTTTCAACCATCCTTTCTTGACCCCACCAGTTGCCCTAAGTAATATCTCAGCATGAGGTATTGTAGGGTCAAATCCTTCTTCCTCTTGTCTACTAGCATATTCAGCTGTCAATTT